GGGAACAACTTGATGATACAAGCAGATCGAAACCAGTTTCAGCCAAACGAAAGGCTGCGCATAACCCCGCGCCACTGGGGAAGTAAATTCGAGACAAGCACGACAACCGCATCGGATATGTGTTCAATTAGTGGGTATTTTCCCGATGACCAAGACTGTGGTGGAAAGGTGAGAAGAAGTGTGTCCAAGTCGTCGGCTGGAGCTTGTTTCTCGCCTTGACTTCCTTAGCTTTGGCGGGGTTAGTGCCGACGATGAAAGGACAAAAGGGTGAGGCAGTGTTTCCAGCANAGAAAAGGCGAGCTGGTGATTACATCGACACTGCTGCTTCAAACTTGAAGCTTGAAGCTCGGCGGGTGAGGAGGGACATGCGTCCGCCTGAGTAGTTGTCAGAACGAAGACTGCGGATATTGGCGAGACAGCAAAAGACTTGCAATAAATATACATAGCAAGTGGTGATCGCGAAAATACATCCGTTCCTTATTCGGAGTGAGGCTGTTCACAGCCTCATCCAAGATGTAACGGCGCTTCGCATTCTGTCGTGCTTGCCTTGCACCTACGGCGATGAACCGCATGCCCTTCTTCGCCCATGCCTCAGGTTTTACCATCAAAGACAGTCATATGTCCGAAGTTGGTGGGGACTATTTCAACATCCACTTCACGATGCCTGCAGAATCTACAGGCTGGTTCCTCCGAATTTCAATATTTCAACGATTTTATTGAACGAAGTGTTTAGAGCGCATTGCAACACAACTACTGGGGAAAAGGAAAGAGTGTGATCTTGACAAAGGTGATGCGGAAGCCGATGGACCCAGGAAGAGATTGAGAGAAGTTCCCAATGAAACTTCGGACGGCCTGATGGTTCGCTTCTTCTCATGAATCATACCCCTTGCTTGCCGAATTTATTTTCCGTTCCATAGGTTGTGCATTCAAAGGACATAGATTTGCAGGGACAACTAACAAGCGGCGCCAATTATCGCACACACTCAGCATTCTACGAAGGGCGCGTTGTGGCGGTCAAGGTTTTCGAGGGTCCTCGCGCCAAGCAGGTTAAAAAATTCTTATTCCACTCGGAGATTTATTAATCGTAACTCTTGCAGAGTTGGAAGCTCAATCTTACTTTCGCTAAAACTTTCTGTGAATATCATCTACGACCTTTCGTATCTTCTAATGACTCGCTCAAAACTCAGTCATTCCC